TAGCCTCTCTGTGTGGAGAGAGCGAGGCACCCGCGCGGGACTTACGCCGACGTGAGCTCGCTTGCATCCGAGCGCTGCGATCCTCTGCCCCGCTGTTTTTTCCTCACATGCTCCTGAGAGGAAGAAAACTGGAGGGCGCGAGGGGCGGAGTCACTTTCTGAAAAGAAAGCTATCTGCGAGCGCAGGGAGGTGACGATCCACTGAACGTAAACAGCGTATGCTGTTCTGTGTCAGCTGTGCCACGCTTCGTAAAATTACAGTTGAACCCCTGATGTCACATGGATTATTTTAACGATCTCATTGATACGTTTCTGGACCTTGATCATGTAAGGACACTTGCTGTCTATGGAAGGGTCAGAGAGCTCACGGGATGCATCAAAAATATCTTAATTTGTGTTCCAAAGATGAACGGAGGGCCCGAACAGACCGGTGGGGGAGATCGGAGCACCAAGGAAGGGAAATCACGGTGTCCTTGATTTCCGTCAAGGTCAGCCATAAGAGGCACTCGAGGACCACGAGATTGGCCATGGAACGCCCTATAGCCTGAGCTGTTGCTTTGGTGGCGCGCAAAGCCAGGTCCGTCACGCTTCTCAGCTCCCTGAGCGACGCTGGGTCTGGGCCAGACTCGTCTGTGTTGGCGAGGAGTTTGGCCTGGAAGACCTGGAGGACCGCCATTGAATGGAGCGCCGAGGCCGCTTGCCCAGCCGAGGAGTAGGAGCGTCCAGCGAGGGCTGAAGTCGTCCTACATGGTTTGGACGGATGGGCGGCCTTTGCCTTCCAGCCGATAGCAGTGGGCGGGCAGAGAAGCGCGGCCACTGACTCATTCAGCGGAGGCAGCTTCTTGTATACCCATATCGTATCCCCGTATCTTCAGCGCCGTCCACCAAAGTGAGGGCGGATGAAGCGGAAGTACGGAGACGTGCAGAGTATGGGGCGGGACACGACCTGGTGAGCTTGTCATGGACCTCCGGGGAAAAAAGGAGTGGATCGCTGACGAGAGGCTTGAAAGCGCCCCGGCAGGAACCACTCGTCCAGACGGCTGCGGGAGGGCTCCTCCAGTGGAGAGCACTCCAATCCCAGCTCCTCGATGGCTTTCGAGAGGACACAGAGTAATTCGGTGTCCATTCTGGGTCTAACGTCGCTGGGCTCGGACGACGGCAGGGGGGCAGGGTCGGCAGTCGAGCCCGACAGGTCATCCGCATCCGAGGCTGCTAATGACATGCTGTCATCCAGCAGCTCGTAATCACTCCCACCGAACGAGACCAGATCACTCGCGCTGGCAGAGGGACGCTGGTCAGGCTGGGTGAAGAGTACGGGGGAAGCCTCTCTGTGTGGAGAGAGCGAGGCACCCGCGCGGGACTTACGCCGACGTGAGCTCGCTTGCATCCGAGCGCTGCGATCCTCTGCCCCGCTGTTTTTTCCTCACATGCTCCTGAGAGGAAGAAAACTGGAGGGCGCGAGGGGCGGAGTCACTTTCTGAAAAGAAAGCTATCTGCGAGCGCAGGGAGGTGACGATCCACTGAACGTAAACAGCGTATGCTGTTCTGTGTCAGCTGTGCCACGCTTCGTAAAATTACAGTTGAACCCCTGATGTCACATGGATTATTTTAACGATCTCATTGATACGTTTCTGGACCTTGATCATGTAAGGACACTTGCTGTCTATGGAAGGGTCAGAGAGCTCACGGGATGCATCAAAAATATCTTAATTTGTGTTCCAAAGATGAACGGAGGTCTTACGGGTTTGGAATGACATGAGGGTGAGTAATTAATGACATAATTTTCATTTTTGGGTGAACTAACCCTTTTAATTCTCTGAGATTCAGAGCTGGCCTTGAAATAAAAGGCCTTTAATGCACCAGTGTCAAAAACGTGATGCAGATCCAACATAGATAAATCTAACCTTACAAATTTACCTTAAAGCTGATGGATGTAGTGACTAACAAAACAGCATGGAATACTTAAAATGGCAGGCATTACTATGCAAAACACTTTGTTCTCTCTCAGGGTAAAAGCACTTGTACCAAGGGCTCGCACTCTCAGTCATCAACATACAGCTTTTGTTTTCATTACAGGAGCATCATCAGAGACGCCAAGCACATCAGAGCTTTAATAACGATGAGTGTTTTCTCCACATAGAACTAATGGCCTCTGTCAACAGTTATAAGGACAATGAGCCACTCAACGTTACAAAATATTTACGCATCAAATTTTCACTAATTTATTTCTCCTTTTCGCCAGTCGGTTTGGCAAGCATCTAATAAGAATAAGAATATAAATGTAACAAATGTAATGCGTGTTTGCTCAAGCCTGATGCCAAATAGTACAGCATAAATATTGTTGAACTGTTTAATATCATAGGAAAATATTTAAATATAGAGGAATCAAGAGTTTAGATGGTCTAGAAATTACTGGAATTTATCCATATACAAGAGATGCACTGAAATTTTTCTCAGGCAAAAATTGGATGAAAACGTTATAAATTATTAAAGGGGTAATCAGATACAAAACTCACTTTTACATGTTATTTGAACATAAATGTGTGTTGGCAGTGTGTGTACACAACCACCCTATAATGATAAAAAGCCATTGAGTGGTATTTTTTTAAACTCTATAAATAATATCCCCTTTTTAAAATCAAGCCATTCTCAGTTTCTTATTTGTGTGACGTCACACTGATGCGAATCATTCGTGATCCAGCTTTACCTACAGTTGAAGTGAGTATAAGGGTTTTTTATGATTCTTTGCAAATCGCCTTTCCTAATAATGTGCTAGTTAGCAAGTTTCATAGCTAAATGCAGCTAAATGCGGCTAAAGTAGAAGAGAGGGGTGGGGTGAGCAGAGCTCATTAGCATTTAAAGGGAAATGCAACAAAACAGGTTGCTGTGAAAAGAGCTGATTTTAACAAGGTAAAAAATTTGTTTTTTTACACTACCACTGAGAAATTTTAACCAAAGTATGGTATAGACTTTTCATTAAGACCCTAAAGAATCATATCAACTTGTGGAAAATGGGCATCCGATGACCCTTTTAAATGATATTAAATGAAAAATGTAAAAATTGAGTTACATTGAAAGATTCAAAACAAAACGTCTGTGAAAAATCAGAAACCTTTTTTCTCTCATACAGTTGGAATTTACTGTAATTTGACTTATTAAATATTTTTAGAACCTACTGTACATGTTGCTCTGAATGACAATAATGTTTCTTAAACTACTATATACCCCATTAGAAGCCAGGACATCTTCTGTCTCCTCTTCCTTATTGTCTATCTGCATCTCAAAAGGATTTCCTCCCTGTAGGTACTGCTCAAACAGAAAAAGCTCCACCGGCTCTGTGGATTCCGGCTGCCTGCTGGGAGATACTGAAGGAGAACGACACTGACCCATGAACTTGAACTCCTGAAAAAGGGGAAAACAAAACAAATATATCAGATTTAATATCATACAGATCAAAAGCTAAAAAAAAGTAGGCTATGTGGAGATTAGGTGGGCTAGGTTTAATTGAATTGTTTGTGCTGGTTGAATGTCCAAGGAGGAGACAAAAAAAGTAGCTCTAAAGGCCCCAATATACTTCAAGCGAAATTGAAGAATGAACTAGTGTGACATTAATTTGAACAAAATCAGGCCAAAACAGTTTTTTACAGTCGATACAGCTTGCTAGTAAAAACATTAACACTCTGGTAAGCTGCTTTATAGCAGAAATGGACACTGATTTTACATGTGCTTTATAAATAAATGTGATTTGACATGACTTGACTGAAGTGCCAAATTGCAGAGCTGGTGCAAACATATCCACAACGTTATAATATTATGCTTTCTTAACTGCTATTTTCTCACCACTCTCCATTTTGTTGTATTTTTACATTATTATTGAGAGGAAAGCACACGACACATATTTACATATTCATCAGAGGTATTTCAAACTTCTTTTTACCCCTAAGCAAAGAACATTGTGAGTATATCAGGGCCTTAAAGTCCCGGTAAAATTAAAATGGAAGTTTTTTGGCATTTAGTATGAATATGTTAGCCTTAAGGTTATATATAAGCTAGTGTGCTCTAAATTAACAACAAAATTTGCATTTAAAAGATATAAGCATTCAAAACTAACAGTCTCTAAATTCTACCAATATGGATCAACAATTTTGATGACATCACCCTGCACTTAAGTTTCTCATCAAACTTTCTGTCCAATCAAATGCTTTGATTGCACAAATCGGCAGACCATAAAACGCATTGGATCAATTTAAATTCTACACAGAATGCCATATTTTATTGCGATATGGATGAGATTGTGGCAAATGCAGCTTTACCGAGCTCAACGGCTCTGGTCCAAGCTAATATAACGGAATGCTATTGGCTATTTCCTGTTTCAGCTAAAATTACATCAACACAAAATAACGCAGATTGTTTCAAAGTACTTCAGTAAACCTTTAGGTTTTCTGTTTAATATTAAATTGCAAATTATGATTTAAAAAATACTTAAAAAGAAGCTCATTCTGCTAAATTTTCATTAATATATATATATTTTTTAAAAATGAACAATTAAGCTTCAAGGGTGAAAGTGTAAAAGCTTTGAGCGCTAAGTGACCTAAAGCTTCTCACAGTTAAACCGCTTTGCACATTAAAGCTCTAACAAGAAGCCGTTATGCAAATGTGGCTCATTAAAGAGCACCACTGATTATGCCATTCACTGATGTGCTATTCAACACCAACTTTCTCTACCACACAAAACTAGTGGCACTTCTTTTGAGAAAATACCTGTATATTCTGCACAAAACAGCATAAAAGGTCTATCAGAGAACACTTTATTGAGCCAAAGACCCTGTTTAGCATATAATAATTGAAAGAGATGCATTTCGGTTTATTCTACAGATACTCTCGGGTGAATATACTTGCCTTCCAGGGTGTAATTTGTTTTGAGACGGATGACACCCTGACTAGAAGAGAAAACAGCTTATGTTGGAATACAATCAGTGATGATGCTTACCCTCATTCATCAAGTTGTCAAGCCTTTCCTGAGATTTAAAATGCATATAAAAGTGCTCCATTACGGCAAGATAGCAAAGCCAAAGGAAGATGATCTACAAAAACGCCTTCTGTTTGGTTAGAAAACCACCCACCGTGGACTGATCTCATTTCCTGCATTGCTCACATGAATACTTTTTGACCTGCTAATCATGAGAATGTGTCTATGAACAGCGCTTGTTATGTAAGAAAGCATGTTCAAGCACCTTTGGCTTGTAGCCATGTGTTGATTGTCATTGCGAAGCACGCACAGAACAAAAGCTCTCTGCCTCATCTTCATATGCAAATGTGAAATCCCCAAAGACTGCCAGCGATGCCAGTTGGTCGAGATCAGTCATGAATAAAAGTCACATTGCTGCATTTCAAAGTCTTATTTGTGGCATTAGGACTTACGTGAAGCTGGGCAATACTGAAGTTGTACTTCACAGGGCACAACTCCCATGTTTCATTTTCAAGAAACATTCGCAACTCCTCCAGGCGGGTTCTGCAGGGGTACAAGGAGAAATGACAAGAGGTTGGCTTTTGTCAACTGAAGACCCATTTGCCATTCAACTCACTAAAAAAGAAATGGGCTGGCAAAAACAGTTCAAGAAAAAGTCGCTCAGTGAAGAAGGTTAGAGCAAGTCATGCTACAATGAGTGTCAAAGTGGCTCGCTGCCAGACAAGGTCAATGCCAGCAGCCTTGCACAAAATGTCAACATCAAAAATTATAATTCATGCTGAACGCCACGTAAGCACAAAGTGGAAGTCCACCACTAATCTCTAAAGAACATACCGGCAGTTCACATGATCATAAGGTGGGATGAGCTCTCTAGACTCAAATGAAGTGTTTGACATTTTAAATACCATCCCTAGTCATGTCTTCAATCCATGATATGTTTAAATGCTTCAAATTTACAACACTAAAAGGAGAAACGAATCCGTTTTGTCCTCTAAGCCAGAGGGCACAATATATATTGCAATGGCACAATGTGTTAATGGTGACGCAGTGACAGCAGGGATTAAGCATTTAGAGGACTGACAGATAATCGCTTTATGGATGCTATCCAACTGCTTGAATATTCAGAAATAATGGTAAGATGTCCGCTTTCAACGTCCTCCATCTCATCAAGCAGAAAAGGTCTTTGTAATGCTGACTACAGCAGCAGGGATGGATATTTCGGCTTTGTTTAGACAGACAGCTACATCTGATTGTTTGGTGAACTGACTCAAATTACTATAGTTGTTTGCAGCGTAATCACCAGAAAGCACATTAATTCAGATGTTTACAAACCCCTATTTTTTCTGGAATGCATTTCAAGTGTTCTTTTATGATTGGGAACATGCATAGTCCACAATACTCTATCTCTATCTGAATATACTCTTACACTCATTCTTTCCTAGTGAACTACACAACATTCAATGTTTAGTGAGTGAGTCAGCAGTTTTGGACAATAAGCTTGAATGCACAATAAGATGTTGTGAAAGACATGAGCAAATTGAGGCAAATTTACCAGTTTTCCAACCTTTCAATGACAGCTACTCACAGCTGTTGTCTCTTGGCATTGGTTTGAGATATATAATTACTATAGCAACTGATGCAGATGCACAGGATACAGACCACAAAATCAGATTTGAACACTTGCACATAGACAATATGGAGAATCAGTCCTGTAGATCAGATTTAAAAATCAAATCCAATTTTCCAGCAGTGTGAACAAAGCCCCAGATGGCTATTCTCTCATCATTCTAGTCTCAATGTAGAAATCTGAACACATTTTCAGGCTTGAATATGTGACAGGTACTTAAACACATGATTGTTTTCTACAACCTAGCTTTTAGATATATTCAAGCACAAAGCAAATATGAAATATTGTCATAATGTATAAATGTGATTTACAACTATCACAAAGAGGGTATGATGTAGTTATTATAGTTATATCTACATCACTTTTTATAATTTCTTCCATTTCCTGGGAATTGATCCTATATGGCCTTGGCTATTGCTAGTGCAATGCTATATTTAGAGCTACAGGAACATTGTGACATTGAAAACATCCAGATTGTTTAGGCATGTTTGCAGTGTTAAATCATTTGCATGTTTAATTAGTCAATTCAGCACTAAAACAGCATGAACAAAGAAACAACACTATCAGTGGCCACAATACAGTGCTGCGGGAAGAAGTACTTAAACCTGGAAACTCGCATTTTTGGACTTTCTACATCCTGGTAGGGGTCAAGATATTTTCACATTTTGTTCTACAACATAAAACCACTCGTGATTTTTTAAACTTTTATGTGTCTTGAAAAAGGCAGTCACTAACAAGGGGCTAAATGGGACTACTGAGCTTATCGGGGATGGGGACATTAAAGGGATAGTTCACCCAAAAATGAAAATTTGATGTTTATCTGCTTACCCCCAGGGCATCCAAGATGTAGGTGACTTTGTTTCTTCAGTAGAACACAAACAAAAATTTTTAACTCAAACCGTTGCAGTCTGTCAGTCTTATGATGGAAGTGGATGGGAATCACGGCTTTGAGTCAAAAAAAACATGTACAAACAAAACCAAATTAAACCCTGCGGCTCGTGACGATACATTGATGTGTAAAGACACGAAATGATCGGTCTGTGCAAGAAACTGAACAGTATTTATATCGTTTTTTTAACTCTGATGCACTGCAATGTCTGAACTGTCTGAACTGTCCTGAGTGGGTCCACGATAGCCGGCGCGTTACGCGTCTTCTTCTTCTTGCTTTACGGCGGATCGCAGACTTATAAGTGCATTACTGCCCCCTATCTTTCAAATCTTTACACATCAATGTATAGTCATGAGCCGCAGGGTTTAATTTGGTTTTGTTTGTGTATGTTTTTTTTTACTCTCAAAGCCATGATTCCCATCCACTTCCATCATAAGACTGACAGACTGCAACGGTTTGAGTTAAAAATCTTCATTTGTGTTCTACTGAAGAAACAAAGTCACCTACATCTTGGATGTCCTGGGGGTAAGCAGATAAACATAAAATTTTCATTTTTGGGTGAACTATCCCTTTAAGTGCCAACATACCAAAAAGGTAAACTCATCAAGTCATGAGTAATTTTTACAGCCTCATGGTGTTTCTTGAAAACTCAAAGTTTCCAAATTGTAGATTTTAAATAAAGATTGAAAGAGTTATTGGAAGCTTGATAGTGGTGACATTTAAGTCATGCGACTGTGACGTAGTTTGTTTATAGCCAGCCTTTAGCTTTTTACATCTGGCAATTGTATTTAAGCTCCAAAAGGAATTTAAAGTTGTGTTAATTTCATGAATATTATGTTGATGAACAAATTGTGCAAGATGCTGGTCACAGAACTTACAGTCTGCAATAACCCTACAAAAATACATAATCACTACAGCACTCTATTTATTTTTAGTGAATCCCTCTTGCAACTGAGGTCAGTTTGGCAATGGGCTTTTTATCTTACCTGTGATAGTTCTTAAAGTAGTTTACACTCTGTCTCTTAATGGACTCTTGCAACACCTCAGACTTGCTGCCGCAGAATTCCTCTCCCACCTGAATCAACCTATCAGTCGGCAAAGAAAAACAAAAAACAGACAAGAAAAAAAGAAGTAGAAAGCAGTTCACTCTTCTAATTAACCCCAAAGAGTTACTTCACATCACATGTCCCAGCGAGGGCAGAAAATGGCGCTTCTATTCACACAAGTCAGTGACCCCAAGGCAGGATCAATACAGAGGGCTGTGGTTTCACACACAAAATGGCCTTTTAATTGAGCCCTGTTAATGGGGATGACCGCACCACCCCTCTTGTTGAGGAACAAGCGGCTTCATTGATGCCCCCTGGCCCCGTTTTCTCTTTAGGGGAGTTTCTCATGAGGCAGAAGGGATGGTGGGGGAAACGGTGAAGTTGGTCCCCACAGGCCAATCCAATTAGCACTAATGAGGAAGTTGGTCCCTACCTGCTGATAACATCCAAAACCACAATGAAGTCGTCGTACTTGAAGTTGGACACGTCTGTTCCCAGCAAATAGGCTTTCACTTTCAATTGGACGTCCTGGGGTCAGAGAGTGGAGGGCGAGAGGTGGGAGGGCAAGTCATGAAGCTAATGGAGGAACGGAGAACAAACAGAGAAAGAAACAAGTAAATGAGCGCACTCCCTACCTGCCAGATCCGCGTTAAGCCATGTTCCAGCTTCTTTTTCACATAGCTGCGGCCCACGGTGGATTCGTCTGAGCCCTCTGCGCTGGAATCATCTAAAAACACAGAATTCACAGCACAGTTATTTTTAAAAGTAGCTAATACTCCGGTATACTCATTATATGGTATTATGACAGGAGCTCAGGTTAGTCTGATACAGTTTGGCACACGATTTCATCATGTTGCGCACTATCTTCAACCAGGATCTTATTTTCTTATAAAAATTGACTAAAATTATGAAATACTGACTAAATTTAAAGGACATTTTCATCAAAAGCATTCAAAGTGACTAATACAGAACTTTGCAATAGTCACACATAACATTTCTGGTGGCCAAAACCATTGGAACCAACAACCATCACAAATTGCTCTATCGTGTCATCAGCTAAAGAAATCGCATTCAAAACATTCACACCCGGGAAAGTGGATCAGAACAGATTGTGCTTGCAAAACTGCACCAAGTGCTCCCAACTCTTTGGCAGCTGCAGCAATGACAGTCACGATTACAAGGACCTTGACCCTGACATTTCACAGTGCTATGCTAATACACTAACAATGACATTCTCTTACAACATGGGTGCCAAATATAGTTATTTTTCCTACTTTGTAGCTTGTGCAAGTGGCTCACAGCAATAAGGACCACAAGGAACCAGATACCACTAATAGTAAGTAAATTTTCCCAAGTAAATTTCACAATTATTTCCAACTCCAGTGAATGTCAGAAACACTGACACTAAATGTGTTCAGTATTATTGCTACCCAGTCAAGAGAGGAGGGTAGTTTCTCTGTCAAATTTGTTGTTTGATTAACATTCAGACAAAATTTTGGTTTTCAAACAAATTATATGTTGAAAATTATTTAATAAAATTTTAATCAAATAAAAAATTAAGTTAATTGCATACTTTTATTCTTTGAATGTATCCAATACTGTTAAACCCAATGTACATTCCAAAGTTTATAACCTCATTAAATTACATTTGGCCCGCATAAGGTGTCTTGATCCTCAAACTATAATGAGTTTGACACTCCTGTCTTACAATGATCAGACTGATAACAAGCTCTTCCTGCAACAAAGCAGCTGTCGCTCCTCATCAGGGGAAATGTTCATCCTGACATACCAAAGTGAGTTTAATCAAAGAGGACACCTATCAGAGTCATCAAAATTTACCACCTAGATGTGCATCATCTATCCTGACAGAAGCTGTACCCGTTATGTAACATGCACCAAACTAAACTGAAACAGACTTCTGCATCAGTTCATTGTGAATTCATAGTGCTGCTTTTCATTGCTTTGGTCATTATGCATCCGCTCTAATGTAAAGAGAAGGATACTTACGATGAGAATGATGATATGACCTGCGGAGTTGAGTGCAGCAAGAGATGAGTGCATTAGGAGCGTGAATGTGGGCGACTGATCTTAATGTCTATATACGCACAGCGTGACTGAGAGTGACTAAATACAAAAGCCCTTCAGGTGGGATTTATTCTGGACTGATACTCCAGCAGGCTCTTAGTGATACAACATAATTATCGTGTCATTGATGAGCAGATTATACAAACAGTTCCACCTCAGCCCTCTCGCTGCAAGTCATCTCTAGAGAAAACAAACAAGCATTTACACATGAACCTCCCGTGCAAAAAGCCAAATGCTCTAAAGAAACACTCCACCTGTCTGCCTTTTCTTGCCAAAGACCACTAAATCCTTCATACTAAAATGTTGCAGGTTTGCCAAAGCGAAAACTTTGCCAAAAACAAAACATAACAAACAACCAACATAAATGTACAATACAAAACAAAACCAATCACAGAAAACCAAAACAAAAAACAACAAGCATGAAACAAAACAATACAAAAACAAACTAACCAAACAACACATTACAAAGCAAACAACAAAGCAAGTCTAAAGAAAAATCATAAAACAGAAAACATCAAAAATCAAAACAGAAATGAAACAAAAAGGCACAGGGTGAGTGAGAACCTTAGCCTATTCACAATAAAAATAGAGTGGCTAAAGTCGATGTGCAGTGAAGTAGTGGGACTAAATTGTTTTACGTCACCCTGTTCTGAAAACTTAATTGCGAGCATTATCCCACCCCCTGAAATATGACGTTCACAGTTCTTCTCAGTTGGTTTCAGAGGTTGGCACAATTTTTCACTCAGGAACCACCTTTTCTGTGATGGAAATTTGCAAAGTACCATTAACCAGAAGCATTGTGAGGTTAAGCTGAGAGAAACCATTGGTTCCAACATGTTTAGGAAACAGTCCAGAACAGTTCCTGATTGGGCACCAGCTTTGGCACCCTAATGGTGGAAAATGGGTAAATGAAACAAGGCACAAGTATCGGGACTGTTAAAGAAAGCTTAAAAGAAGACCTCAGCGCCAGTGATTGATGGGATTTTCAGCGGATGTTCAGCGCAGCCAGCAGATGAATGTTTGGCGCTCAGAAAAGAGAGCTTTTATATAGGGGAAGAGTGTTTTTATATAACAGTGCTCGGTTAAACCCTAGAGAGACACAGTCATCACTCAAGAGTTGTGTCTGTGCAGGCTTCACGTCTTCATCTTATCAGCACTGGAGAGAAGAAAAGTGCATTAAAAACATTTTCTTTCATGTATACTTTAAAAACTAGATTTGCATCATGCTTCAGTTCATATGCTCACAAATCCCATCCGGCTTTAGTTGTACAGATCACGACTTCAGCTGCAGAACACACAAAACATTGATATTTCACAGAGGCTAAATCCACAGAGCTCCAGGCTGCCTTTACCCTTTTCCTCACTCATAACATGAAAGATTTTATGAAGTCCCTATCGCTGATGGGAACCTTCCTGAACCCCAAGGGGAAAACACGTCCAAACCACGAATCAGGAAATACATGAGGTGGAAGAAACGTTCGGTGTGTGAGCAACTAAAACCTCAGATTGTCACATGAATGCAACCAAACAGTTATTTCTAACCTCCTAAGTTTAATATCTTCACAATGAACAAAGATGGGGGAAAAAGGAGAGGAAAGAAGATATTAAACCTGGTTTGAAAAGTAAAAAAAAAAACTTCCTGTGAGACCTGGCTCATTCAATTATGATAACAGTATCAGCTCAAACGCTTACAATCAGTGAAGTGTAGGGAATACTGAGT